CGATCAAAACATATACGGTAACTCAATACGTCAGCCAACAATCTCAACAAACGATGAGAATCTATAAATAAGTAGGAAAAGTATCAAAAACAAAATTTATAAACAAAATAAATGGTCCTCATGTGATAATTAGAAGTATTTGAATTATAGTACGAACTAAGGATTCCAGAAATAAAGCAATTAGATCAAGAAGTAGTAGATAAGCATGAACTGTATTTGGAATCCGAATTCAAGCATTCAACAAGTATAAGGGAGTCATTAGTTCATTTAAACACCATATCCAATCTTATGAGAACCGAAACGAAAAGTTTATAAATGAACGCATCCCAAATAGTGGATCTGCATTTGAGGATTGGTGTTATAGTTATATAGAACATATACATGAATACAGACGACAACAACAGAGTGAATATTTCACATAAGAGAACACAAGGGAATATTTGTCCAAGTAAACATACGACATGAATTTTTTCCACATATATTCACATGAAAATACACAAAATGAATTCAACAGTTAGTTCTTGTTCTGTTCTGAATACTTAGTCAGTTATTCTTATTTGAATTCAATGAATACTCAATGTCAATGCTTGTTATGTTACCATTATCCACAATAGTTGACTTTCTTTGAGTATGTTAAATCATAAATACTCAAATATTTGAATGTCTTATGAAAAAATATTTATCAGAAGGGGTTTGTGGTGATTTTAGAAATTTCACCGAATGAAATCATGAATCATTTGAGGTCCCTTCTGACATTAATCATCTGCTCACTAGTGAATGACTTCAAGAGATACTCCTGGAGTTCTAGTGGGAAGCCGTTACCAGTGGAGTTCAACCAGGTCTGCTGTGAGATATCAGCTCACTGAAGACAATTGTCTACGGTGGCGCGACTTCGTGGATTGGTTGAAGTTAGACATTAACATCGTTTGGTGCCGGCTCAGTGGTGTAATGGTTAAGTGCTCGCGCGCGAAATCAGTAGATCCTGGGTTTGAATCCCGCAGGGTGCGGGATTGTGGATGCGCACTGCTGAGGAGTCCCATACTATGACGGAACGGCCGTCCAGTGTTTCCAGATTTTCAATGGTGGTCTAGCTTCAACTGACTCATGATTTCATTCTGTGAAAAAAAAATATTTACCAAACTGATCATCAAACAAAACCTTGACAATCAAAATCATTAAATTGACAATTTCATCCTGAATGAAAAGCATCATTTTCATTAGATCCCAAATGAATAATAAAGGTCGACAGAAGTAACTGTAGTTCATAAACTCACGAAACTTCTACTACTTCTATTCTTTGACAAAATGTAATAACATTCAAGAGAAAACTAGATAAAGGAGCATACTAGAAAAAGAAATAAAATAGGCCGTAGTCCTTCTGTTTTTAATATACAATTCTGAATCTGACATAGTAACGTTTGTGTAGTTGCTCTACTTACAGAAGTATTTAGTTAATTTTGTAGTGTGGCGTTCAGTCGAGGTTGACTATGATCACCACTACTAAAGGTTGCGTACCAGATATCAGAAGGCGATTGGAGGTTGCAGCGAGATATATTTGTTGGCGATCTCGTGGTATCAAAAGGATACCGGGATCGTGCCAAAGGAGTACAAGCGGAATCACTGAGCAAACGTAAGTGTGTGCAAAATCACAATCAAGGGAAGGAAGAATGTCCTTAGTACAGTTAAACAAAAAGTACAGTGAAACAATCACTAGTGCAATTGGTTATAACAATAATTGTTTCCAATAAACTAATCGCTTTCTCTTGATAAAAGTAGATCACTACAAGTTCATCAGCAACTAATGAATTAGTATCGTCCAAAGTATTCACAATGTTATCAGTGCTGATTCCCAGATGTTTGATAACATCCCAAACTCCTTATTATTTAAGAGAAACCTTCCATCACTTTCGGATAAATTTTGGGGTAACCGCTATAGAAGCGTTTGGAACAAAACCCCCATAATTTTGGGGATTTCCCCAATATTTTCTCAGTATCTTATAACACCAATATTGGTAGAAAGTTACAACGGGTTCCTGTTGATAACTGCTGTTTGAAGTAATAATAAACTGACATTTTTATTTCCATACACAACAATAAAAATAATGTATCTGCAGAGTGATGAAATAAAAAGAGAATACTCTTTTTTAAAAAAAACATTCAGACAGATCAACTCTAAGGTTGTCATTAAATGATTAGTGAGTAAATGAGAAAGTTGTTGATTACTCCATGTACTTTTAATTTGCTGTTTTACTTAAACTGATACTTACTTACTTGCTTACCTACTTACGTCTGTTACTCCTCGTGAATGAGCATAAGCCACTTACCAGCATTCTCCATCCAACCTTGTCCTGGGCAATCCTTTCCAGCTCCTTCCAGTTGTTTTTCATCCTTTTAATATTTGCTTCTATTTCCCGACGTAATGTGTTCTTTGGCCTTCCGCTTTTCCGTTTCCCTTCAGGGTTCCAAGTTAGGGCTTATCTTGTGATGCAGTTTGATGATTTGCGTAATGTATGTCCTATCCATTTCCATCGTCTTTTCCTAATTTCGTCTTCAACTGGAAGTTGGTTTGTTCTCTCCCAGAGAAGGCTATTGCTGATGGTATCCGACCAATGGATGTTGAGTATCTTGCATAGACAACTATTTATAAATACTTGTACCTTCTTGATAATGGTTGTAGTAGTTCTTGAAGTTGCAGCTCCGCACAGTGGAACTGCCTTGACGTTAGTATTGAAGATTCTGTCTACAAAATTGGTTGAAAGTTGTTCTGAGTTCCATATGTTCTTCAATTGTAGGAATGCTGTCCTTGCTTTGCCAATCCTCTAAAGTGATCAACCACTGATGTAAACGGAATAAATCATGCATTTTTTTAAAAATCATGATTTCCGGTTGTCAAAATTTTTGGCGAGACTATAATTTATGAATGAACCAATGAGGTATAAGACAACAGGTCTCAGATTTTGGTGCAAAATTCACTCAGCCATTTGTACAAGTAGAATTTTAGCATTACAACTTATGTCAGTTCGTGATGAAAACCCGAAATCCAATTCCTAACTTTATTCATTGACTGTAATTGAGAATTCTAATTGATTTATGGCGATCATCTAGTCCTAATCGGTAGGTATCCATTCTCATAGTCACTTTGGCACCGCTCAAAGGGCGTCCATAAATTATAGTCTCAGCAAGTTTATGCGCTCTTAATAAATATCATTACTATTAATGTCTCTATTCAATATAATATATTTTAAGTACAATATGGAATTCTCAACTTAAAGCACAAAATATTTCAACAAATTTCTGTGGTGGGACGACCTTTGATCGATGCTAAAGTGACCTTGGGAGTTTCCACTTAATAACTAGGACCAAATGAGGGTTATAAACCAGTGTGAAAAATCAGAATTATGATTTACAGTTGATGATTAAGCTTAGGAATTAAATTTCGGATTTTCATCACGAAGTGACATCAGCTATAATGTCAAAACACTATTTACCTGAATGGATGAGTTAGTTTTGGGCGAAAATCTCAGACCTGTTATCTTATACCTCATTGGTTCATTCATGAATTATAGTCTCGCCTTTTCTGTTTCTTATTTCATGATTAAAACCAACGATGAATATTGTGTGATTGCCAGTTTGATGCAAGCAATATCAGGAATCAATATATGAGAAAATGTTCACTCTTCTCACTGCACATTACCGACAACCATGATGTCTCTGATTGTACTTTTCATAAACACGCCAGTATATGTTAGGTAATTAAAACAAACAATAACAGATGGCTTGTTCAGATATCTAGATGGCAGGAACAGGCAGCCCAGATATTTATACATATCTACTTTGTCATATCATGAATGATTTTAGCGAACATTACAAGTGAACATTAAAACATTAATTTATGATCCATTGTTTCTTATTTAGAAATGTGATTGTTGAACTACCGTATGTGCAATCCAATCAACCAACAAAGGAGGAAATGAGTTGGAAAATAAAAGGGAAATAATGAGGAAATGTCTGCTTTTTCGCCTGTCCGGGGGAAATAATGCCGATTCTCCTCTTTTCGTCGCTCTGTGTTCCAAATGTCATTGAATTGTCTATTTTTTTTGCCTAAATATACGCCAAATCGTCTACTTGTGGCTACTAATAATTCATCAGTATTGTATAAAATAGTAATCTAATACTAATAATCTGTTAACAAGTATCCACTAATAGTCAATCAAAGATTTACCATAGGTACCCTCAGTTAACTGCAATCAATAATCAAAAGTGTTTGGATGATTTTGTAAAAAGTTAATAGTATTGCAATATATTCTACCGACGTCAATAGATATGAGTAGTATGTATCATCTAATCAAAATTGAAATGCCTGGTAGATGCAGACTAAGAAAATCTAAGAAAAGAAATCGAATATAGAGAGTGATTGATATGGAGACAAAGGAATAATAAAATCTGAGACAATTGACTGACATTTTGCAGATGAAGTATTCACTGTATAGTTCTTAGATTTTACGAAGAGATTCTGTAATTCCTTATCCAAACGCATTTGGATGTCCCCACTTATATTCTCGTTCAGTACAGGAATAACCGAGTCGATGAACGATAAACTAACTAACAGACAACTAAGTTAGTATCCAAAGTCTTTCATGTTTAATTCCAGACATTTTTCTATATAATAAGTATGACACAATTGGAAGATAATGGAATTTATTTGAATACAACATTACCGAATCACTTAATAAAATCTAAGAAGCATTCAGTAAATTCCTCATTTACAAAGTGTCAATCAATTGTCTTAGACTTGACTATTCCTTTATTTCTACATCGACTATCCACTGTTCATATTCACCTTTCTTCAAACTTCTTAACTTTCTGTCACTAAGTATTTCACTTTCGATTGATGGTACATACTACTTATATCTGTCGATATCAGTAGCACACACCATAACACTAAAATTTTCAATAATTTGTTTGGTACGTCTTCATTTTTTTTAAAAAAAAAACGTGGTAAGTTACAAATTATTTTCTTAATAATAATTCTTAGTAGAATTAAACACTTTAAAATAATACTCGATTGTTTATTATTGATTATGGTTGATGGTAAGGAATCATTGGTTGATGTTGTTTCGGAGGATATTTCATGTTATTCATTGATTTCATCTCTGGGTTACAGCTCTTAATCGTCATTCGATAATGTTGCTTCGTCCATGGTTGAAGTAAAATTTGAATTTGACACACCAGACCAGTCTAAAATTACATGAAAGATAATAACATTAATAATAATAATTATTATTATCAGTATAGGTTTGTGAAGATTATTTCGTTTTTGATTGAGATCATGAATCGAATGATGTTAGACCACAAATGAAACACCTGTAAGCATTGGACGGCCATTTTTTCCTATTGTGGGACTCTTCAGTAGTGCGCATCCATGATTCCGCTCGCGGGATTGGAACTCAAGGCCTTCCGTTGCTCGCACGAACGCTTAACCTCTAACCATTGAGACGGCCGGTATTCAATGGTGTTAATGTCTAACCTCAACCAATCCAAAAAATTGCGTGGCTATCTCCCATTGTACTTGGATATATACCTGTCTCTATCCGACAAGGATTAGATCCACTAGTCACGGCTTCGCATTAGAACTCCGAAAATATACTTACGAACCTAGTCACTAGTGAGCACATGGTAATCATCAATATAAAATTGTGGAGATTATTAAGTTTTTAATTGAGACCTTAACATTAATCGGTTCATGATCTCAATCAAAACAGTAATGATGTTAATCAATATTATTGATTGTCATATGCATCATTACAGTAAATATTACTTAGATTAGATTATATAATAAATTGTAAAAGATATTCCTCTAAAGACTATTCCTCTGAAACCCTTTATTACCCTATGGTATATACAAACTCCTATAGTGATACGGTTCTTCTGATATTAAACAGTGAAAAGAACAACCCAAATTTGATCACTCAATGGTAGATATTGTTTTTTTTTGAATAATTTCTATCATAGAATTAATTGGAGGTATGTCTTTTAGTTAGAGTACTTCACATACCTAGGAAGCATCATCGATGAACAAGGAGGTTCAGATGCAGACGTAAAGGCGAGGATCGGCAAAGCAAGGGTCGCATTCCTACAATTGAAGAACATATGGAACTCAAAACAACTTTCAACCAATATCAAAGTGAGAATCTTCAATACGAACGTCAAGGCAGTTCTACTGTATGGAGCTGAAACTTGGAGAACTACAACAACCACAATCAAGAAAGTACAAGTATTTATAAATAGCTGTCTATGCAAGATACTCAACATCCATTGGTCGGATACCATCAGCAATAGCCTCCTCTGGGAGAGAACAAACCAGATTCCATCTGAAGACGAAATAAGGAAAAGATGATGAAAATGGATAGGACATACATTACGCAAATCATAAAATTGCATTACGAGGCAAGACCTAACTTGGAACGCTGAAGGGAAACGGAAAAGCGAAAGGCCAAAGAACACATTGCGTCGGATAATAGAAGCAGATATGAAAACGATGAATTACAACTGGACGGAGTTAGAAAGGATTTCCCAGGACAGGGTTGGAGGGAGAATGCTGGTGAGCGGCCTATGGTCCTTCACGAGGAGCAACAGGCGTAAGTAAGTAAGTAAGTAAGTAAGTAAGTAAGTAAGTAAGTAAGTAAGTAAGTAAGTAAGTAAGTAAGTAAGTAAGTAAGTAAGTAAGTAAGTAAGTAAGTAAGTAAGTAAGTAAGTAAGTAAGTAAGTAAGTAAGTAAGTAAGTAAGTAAGTAAGTAAGTAAGTAAGTAAGTAAGTAAGTAAGTAAGTAAGTAAGTAAGTAAGTAAGTAAGTAAGTAAGTAAGTAAGTAAGTAAGTAAGTAAGTAAGTAAGTAAGTAAGTAAGTAAGTAAGTAAGTAAGTAAGTAAGTAAGTAAGTAAGTAAGTAAGTAAGTAAGTAAGTAAGTAAGTAAGTAAGTAAGTAAGTAAGTAAGTAAGTAAGTAAGTAAGTAAGTAAGTAAGTAAGTAAGTAAGTAAGTAAGTAAGTAAGTAAGTAAGTAAGTAAGTAAGTAAGTAAGTAAGTAAGTAAGTAAGTAAGTAAGTAAGTAAGTAAGTAAGTAAGTAAGTAAGTAAGTAAGTAAGTAAGTAAGTAAGTAAGTAAGTAAGTAAGTAAGTAAGTAAGTAAGTAAGTAAGTAAGTAAGTAAGTAAGTAAGTAAGTAAGTAAGTAAGTAAGTAAGTAAGTAAGTAAGTAAGTAAGTAAGTAAGTAAGTAAGTAAGTAAGTAAGTAAGTAAGTAAGTAAGTAAGTAAGTAAGTAAGTAAGTAAGTAAGTAAGTAAGTAAGTAAGTAAGTAAGTAAGTAAGTAAGTAAGTAAGTAAGTAAGTAAGTAAGTAAGTAAGTAAGTAAGTAAGTAAGTAAGTAAGTAAGTAAGTAAGTAAGTAAGTAAGTAAGTAAGTAAGTAAGTAAGTAAGTAAGTAAGTAAGTAAGTAAGTAAGTAAGTAAGTAAGTAAGTAAGTAAGTAAGTAAGTAAGTAAGTAAGTAAGTAAGTAAGTAAGTAAGTAAGTAAGTAAGTAAGTAAGTAAGTAAGTAAGTAAGTAAGTAAGTAAGTAAGTAAGTAAGTAAGTAAGTAAGTAAGTAAGTATGTCTTTTAGTATGCTGTAATTTTTCTTTCATCATAACTGATTATGTTACCATTACCACGAAAGTAGTATGATGAAGGGGTATTTTCATCATAGAAAACTTTACATATTTTTATGTAACCCAGAATAAAACACCCCCACCCTCTGTCATGGACTATGATAGTGCGAATAATAATAACCGTTTCATTTTAGTTGGTTGCCAGGTGTAATGTCTAAATTGTGAACAAGAATGAAGTTAATCCTCAGTCTTAATTAGCGCTTAATTGTAAATATTTATACAGTATGTCTCCAAATACTTCAAAAATGCATGTGTGTATGTGTGTAAATCTATTACGTGAATCAACTTTTTCAACATAAGCAATCATGGTTTATTTCTTACAGTCATTTGAATAATATCGACGGAAGAACTCGAATAAGCTGATGTATAATTAATAGAAATCCTTCAAATTCCTCTATTCTGGATGTTTACTGTTTACTTCCAAGTCATCTTATTTTCTGACTTACAATGAATACCTTTCAGGACACAAACAGACTTAAATCAGATTCTGATAACTTTACGATAATAAAATAAAGTTAGACATTAACATTATTGGATGCCGGCCGGCTTAGTCGTTCAAACTTTAAGGTTTCGCGCTCGAAACCGATAAATCTTGGGTTCGAATCCCGCTAGTAAGATCATGGATGAGCACTGCTGAATAGTCCCATACTAGGACAAAACGGCCGTCCACTGCTTCCATGTTTTCCCCAGTGTTCTGGCATTAATTGACTCATGAATTCAACTATTAAAATACTCTCAAACCTTTTATGATAACAATCACATAGACCTGTTAAGACTATAAATAAACACAGACCAGACAACCATTGAAGGCCATTATGTACAGAGATACTTTGTATGTGAATCACTAAGGCGTCTTATACTAGAATGAAACTACTTTTCGTTTTCCTGAGGATATCAATAATTGCGTAGCTTAAATCATCTCGGGATGTAAACCTTCTACAAAGCGAACAATCTTAGAAACATACTAATTTTAAGGAAAAGTTCACTTGTTAATTCCATTTCCATTAACATTAATCTGTTGTCATAGGTGATTTCACGAGTTAATATAAGCTAAACCATCATTGAAAACTTGGAAACACTAGACAGCTGTTTAGTCCTAACATGGAATTACTCAGCAATGCACATCCACAATCCCACATCACAGACTCGAATCCGGTACGTTCGGTCTCGCACACTTAACCTCTAGAACATTGAGCCGGAACCCAACAGCATTATTGTAATCTATTTAATTCATCTACCATAGTTTCTCGAGGATGACCCTCTTATATTATTTATTTATTTATCTGAACACACAAATATTAGTACAGTGGAATACAAAATAAATATGCACCACACAAGTCACTTGATTTGTGTGTGAACTGTGATACTGTTCGGGTACTCAGAACGAAGCAGGTGGTTTTCTTAAAGAACCACACCTGGAGCCTTTGAACTAAAGGTCTGATCTACAACACAGTACAGTAACTTTACGATATGCAGATCTATGGTAGTCGGTGACCAACAATTGGTTTATACATCATTCGTCTTATCAGGATACTGGAGACCATATGCACCATTAGTTTGGAGTCAAGATTTTCCGACTCTCCTTGGTAGACCCTTCTCTACAACCAACACGGTTGAAGCACTGGACATTCGCTTTGCGTCCTCTTAACTTCGTAAACAACACTCACGTCATGAGTAGGAAATCCCTGTCATTGGCTGTATACGCATGGCAATGTGAGAGCATTTCAAAAAGGAGAGCGAACTCCCCAATATCTCTGACCGTACCAGAGCATAAGATCTCAATCTAACAATGAATAATTTGAAATTCGAAGTTCATTTTTTGTAAAAACAATCCATCAATCATTAATTTCTATACAAAACTTACAGTATTATGATTGAATTGACATCGAACCGTTTGATTATTTTTAATCTTTTGCATCATCCTATTATGTTTTGTACAATTAGTACGTGTAAGATGTAAATTATATTGTAATAATAAACCATTTACAATCTAATTGGAAGAAAATTTATCAATATAATAATATACTACTTGTATTGTTATATTAGTAATATTAGTTTGTGCATACCAAAAATTTGAATTTATTATTTTATTCACAAGAATAACCGACTTGTTAATTAGAGTTTCATTTAAAATAGAATGCCTATCTTTGTCGATATGATCAATTCCACCAAAACCTAAACATAATTGTAATGCAATAGTTACAATGAATAGAATTGCCAGATTAAATGAACTCATCATTAGATTATACAATAGAAATGATAATGATATTGAATAACAACTAACGATACTACTTATATTTATAGTATTTCAACTTTAGTAAACAACTAGTTATTTACATAGGGTTGTTTGTTTGCTTTGTTTTGTTTGTTTATCTTTAAGTAAATGTGTGTTATATTACTTAGTAAATAGAAAAAGTTTATTATTCATATGATTTCATGAAGTATATATAATAAACAATGAAGTACTATTGATTGATAATGTCTGCCTATTAACAGTTGTAATGATGTAATAAATGAAGCATTTGTTGGGGATAACCAATTTAATAATTTGATAGTTGAGATTATGAGCCAATTGAAGCTAGACCACCATGGTACACCTGGAAGTCCGATTGTGGGACTCCTCAGCAGTTCACATCCATGATCCAAGTTCCGCGACTTTCGAACCCAGAATCTATTGGTCTCACGCACGAATGCGTAAGCCTTAGACCACTGATCCGGTATACAACGGTGTTAATGTCCAACTATAACCAATCCACGAAATTGAGACATACGTCCACCATTATCCTCAGACAGTAATCAATTTACTATTGAATGCAAAATCACACAGTGGTTTAATATGGTGTGAAAAGCATACATTAAGTACAACATTTGTACATGGTTCATCTGTTGTGATTGCTGTTGTTCTTAATTTAGTCCTGTACTGTTAAGTATTTTACTTCTGATTAGTGTTACATACTACTTATATCTGTCAACATAAGTAGCATACACCACAGTATTATTGAAAAGTTATTTCAAAAATATGGAGTTCAGTTTGAACTGAACTAAATAACAATATGATATTATTAATTGTATGCGGATTTGTACTATTAACTGAATGATTTGGTCGTAAACCAGGTTGAACATACATAAGAGAACAGTCAAAAATACTGACGGAAGTCAAGGATTGTAGATTTCTACTAAGTATAATCATTATAAATCTTTTTATGTTCGTGCTTTAATCCTCTGTGGGATTACATGTGGACAGGTAAAGGATGGGCCCTTAGTTAAGACAAAACGGTTGTTCAGTGCTTCTATGTCTTAGTAATTCATTAGCTCCTATTTGTATACACCGAAAACTATTCCAAGATTAAAGTAATTTCTCATAGATCACTTTAACATAAAACCAGATGGTATTGTAGTGAACAAGAACACAGATGGGGGACAATCGATGAATTTGAACAAAAAATTACAGGTTATCTTATTAAAATCTGGGAACTATACAGTAAAAAGAACACTTCATTTGCAGGATGTAAATTGTTCCTTCGTTTCCACACCAACCATTCTTTGTTCTCGTTCTCTTTTCTTTGATCTTCTTAACATTTTGCCTACAAGCATTCCACTTTCGGTTGATGATAAATATTACTTATATCTGACAACATTAGTAGCAGACACCACAATATCATCTTCAATTGATGAAGAATATTTCCAGAATGATATATTATTACAAAAGGTTGTCGCATTTTATCTTGTAATTTGATTTGCAATAAATAGATTATAACTGATAGCTGAACCTAGGATACATGTTACGTCTTATTTAAGTTTCGTCAGTTGTATGTGACTGAAACCTAGTTTAAATGTTTATATTGCATCTAGAACCCAGTATTTCACGCTTCAAACTCTTAAAGTATTATGAATTAAACTACTAATTTAAGATAGTTGCTTACTCACCACCCACTTATCAATCAATTGTAAATACATCTCAGACCTACAAGAGGTCAGTCGAGACCCGGATAGCTCAATGGCAACGTCTCTGATTGTGAACCTGGCTGACACGGGATCAAATCCGTCAGAAAGTATCAGTTCCCCCAAGATTACATGTACACCTTGCTGACGAGTGCCAAGGTACAGGGTTTCCTGTTCACTATCTCCAACCACCATCTTATCGTAATTTAATATAGAAAAAAAAAGAAAGAACGACAACCTACTGACAAATGAACCATACAACTTGGCATTATCTCTCCTAATGTAACTTGATATTAAAGGTAAAAATTTCCATTATTTACTTTCATCAACAGTATCAACCAGACTCAATAAATTCAAATATCATAAATATACATGTAAATAAGAAACTTTTTAGGATGAAGCTTTGTGGAGACTGTAGTAATTTTTAAAAAGTATGAATAGTTGCGTATGATCATGGATCGTTCGAAGTTAAATATTAACACCGTTGGATACTGGCTCAATGGTTTAGAGGTTAAGCGTTCGCGTCCGAGACCCAAAGTCATGTGATCGAATCCCGTATGTAGGATCGTAGATGCGCGCTGATGAGAAGTTCCACGTTAAAACGAGACGGTCATCCAATATGTTCACCTTTTCAATGGTGGTCTAGCTTAGATCGAATAATGCATTGAACTAATAAAACTATTACAATCTCCATTCTGCTAGTATCTTTTTGTTGATTGATGGGCATTTTCAAGAGAATCTCATCGATACTGGAATTTTACTAATTGTTTCCTGTATATATTCTACATTGTGCGTAGTACTGTAGTTCACAACGCTCATTTTTTTTCATTATGAAATTACCAGTTAGATCTATCTGGGTTGAAATGTTGATAACTTATTCAGTGAGTTTTGTATCGTCAATTATAAGAAAGATTGAATATTATTCAAACATTGTATAGATCTTTAAGTATTTGGAATGTAAAATTCAATATCGCTATTTTGTTACAAGTTTCTAACTACAGATCTTAGTTTGATCAATGTCTTACAGATACAATTGACTGATTATTTAACTTTAGAGAAGTCAATAAGATTCAATGTCTCAATACAGGTACATAGATCTGACTCATTTGTCAATCTTTGAAGAGCTATGAATCACTAGTATCATCAAGAATTTCTGTATTTAAGCACGTGAATGTTTGTTTAAGAGGGCACCAAATATTTATGCAACACACTTCAATATTCGATTTGCATGAGGGATGGTATACAGTCCGTGTGCCCAAACCGAAGCTGGTGGTGCTCTTAGGCTGCTCCAACCTGAGCCTTTCCCCCGAAGGTTTAATCCATAAGGCGATAGACCAATGTTAGGAGATGTAGTCCCATTGTAGCCGGTGACCAACAATAGGTCTATATGTCATCTGTTCTCTCAGGATCCTGGAACCCATCACTGATTTGAAATTATGTTTTTCCAACTCCCCTAGGTGGACTGTGGGGTTCTATACGTTCGAGTGACGTAGTTGCATACCGAACTCTGCGTTAATCAAGTAGCGAACTTAACACTACGATCTAATTCTTGCTTCCTGTATTATATTCTTATACATAGTATTTCTTTTATATATTACTATCATCGGAGTAACTAATTCTCTGAATATGGTGTTCATCTTGTTGTGCTAATGAGGTGTGGCAACTTGAACTGATGCATAAATTTGCCTAATCCCACATTGTGGCAGACTGACAGCTAATATAAATCCGGAACTAAACCTACATGTTGACTGGGTAAGCCGTCCAAGAATCAACGAAAACTAATTTTCCTTAGGGTATCATGTCGTTCAAGTTGCAAGTTAAGCCAATTACCATAATTACTAGACGTAATTACAAAATTCGACTATTAAACAAAAATTTTAAAACTATCCACTCGTCAATTATGTATATAGACGGTTAAAAGCCTTTACTGAATCCTAATCACCCAAGACAGATCTTTTGTTCATTACATAAATCAAAAGATTCCCCATTATTTCACAAGCTAAATTACACCACAAGTTAACATTTAAAGACTGTTGGTCAAATGATGAATAATCTAATGAACAGTAAACTAACTCAGTACCCATATACTATGTTCAGTAGGAGGTAATTAGAGGTTATCGTTAGGAGGTTTTACTTGATCTACATTTCCTCTTCACTGACTCTTATCTTCCATGTAATCTTAAGGGGAATTCGTACAAATCGTTTGATTCATATCCATGTCACTCAATTTCATAGTAAGTCATGTTATGTTACTGAGCTATTTTTAACTGAGAAAGATCTCTTATATTATGAATTGTATAGCGTTGAAATTCGACAAAGAATATTTTAGCATTACAAACCATACTACTTATTATCTAGTTAGTAGTTAAATCAATAAAACACAATAAGCTAGTTAAAATGCATTTTTTGAATGAATTAAATAATAGATATCTGTGTTAAAGTTGATTGTAAAACGCATTCAATTATGACTAGATAATAGCCAGTAAAAATAATAATAATAACAACAATAAATTAGACAATATTCCCATGTTAGTAATATATTGACTTTACAATGCATTTATCCCATTACTAACCATTTAAGGCATATATATATATATATATATATATATATATATATATATATATATAAAGTAATGATGAACAATAGAATATACCAGAAAAAGAAAAGAAAAGAAAGCAAATGATGGGAGTATTCAATTAATAAAAGAAACTAATGTTTCTTCTTTTTGTAAACAAAACTAAAAATATATATAATATACTCCTATATTAGAACTTTGAATCAGCAGTAATTCCATAGTTCTTTATTGAATTCTTTACAGTAATATGCATTCACTACTCCAATGAACCAATTTAAAACATTGAACAATGTTACAATACATACATTATTGTCATGGTATAACAGAGGCCATTTAATCGTTTCAAATGAAAATTACATAATCAATAAATAAGCAAACTACTTTTAACTTAAATAGTAGTAATGAAATTAACATTAAAAAAATCTTAATACTATTTAACTAGAATTTGTTATTGTGAAATTACTACAACAAATCTCTTTTGATATAAATGAATGTGATGAGTTATTAGTTAAATTTAAATTATTAAAAGAGTTCATTAACATTAAAGCAGAAGATTGTTCATCGAATAACAATGATGATGATGATGACAATGGTGATGATGATGATGATGATGTTGTTGTTGTTGTTAATGATGGTGTTGTAAACGTATCAAAAGATAATGCTGGTGAAATAGATGCTGATGATGTATGAGATGATAAAGATAGAGATTCTGTATATGAATTATTCTCTGTACATAATGATGATG